TTTTTCTTCTGCTCCCCTAGTTGCCTCCGCCATCTCCACTCCTATGAGTGTGAGAGAGAGAGAGAGAGAGAGAGAGAGAGAGAGAGAGAGAGGATTCTTCTTCATCTGCTCCCCTGGTTGCCTCGGCCATCTTCACTCCTACGTGAGAGAGAGAGAGAGAGAGAGAGAGAGAGAGAGAGAGAGAGAGAGAGAGAGAGAGAGAGAGAGAGAGAGAGAGTTGAGAGACTCGGTTACATTCCGATGATTGCGCAGATTTGGACATTGTATTCAGACATTGGGAATTATTGTTGGGGACGATTCATGCACAGAGCTATTAGGTTGACGTCTCCCTCTTCTTTTCCCATCTTCGTCTCTTCCTCCCCTCCCTTCGTCTGTGGATGTGTTCCAGACATGACGGCTATCTTCCATGTATCAGCTGCCATGTCTGTTGTGTATGGGTGTTGGCCGATGTATGCAGTCAGTCTGAGTAATGATGAGTCAGATCTGTGTATTTCAGTCTTCTGCTACATTGTCATTGCTCATCCGTGCATGAGGAGCCATGCCTTTCCGATCTGTCAGGCATGTGACAAGATATACCTCTCCACATACGAAGGGAGTGCCTGGCCGAGCTGTGACCTTCCAGGTCGCACGGCCTCCCCAAGCTACCAGTACCTCCTACTTTTGGAGGGAACATCGTTGCAGTCTGATATTCCCCTCCACAGGCCCCAGACTCAGACTACTGGACTGGTACCCCTAGACTCTAAGCCTACCAGACTTGTAAAATTCCCTCGTCCTTGAAACGTACTAACTTTTTGACTGTTTCTGCCTGCCTACCTGCTACTTGAGTGTTTTCCATTCTACACGGGCCTAGCATACTTTTAATTTCTGGCTGCGCCGACAGAACACATGGCCACAGGTAAGTACTGGGCCTGCAGGCCTTCCCAGCACACAATTACCCCGGCGGGTCACGTACACACCCAAGCAATCGTGCAGTTAGGCAGACACACGGAAACTCAGCAATTATGCACAAATGCGTACTTAGAAATCTCAGTAGAATGCGGCACTCTCAGCAAGTCACTCAGTCCAGCGGACAAACTCCGAAAACATCAGGTCTTTCAGTCTGTGATTTTTCAGGTGATTACATGTATTTGGGACAGCTTTTGGTCTAGATACAGGGATAATAACCATGTGTTGTATTCAGTTAGAGATGGTAGTGCCGGTGAGTTGCCAGTCTGCCTAATCCCCCTGTCTTCTCTTGCACCTTTTTTTTCTTTTCCCCCTCCCTCTTTCATCTCTTCTCTTGCTTGTGCTTTGAATTCTGCAAGCTTCCATGTCATTCTGCCTTTGCCTGAATTTTTTGCATGGGTTGCATGTGTAGAGTGGAAGGCCCATTGTTTCCTGCCTGGTACTTTTCCGGTAAGACGTTGAAGATGATGGGCCTGTGCCAGAATTCCCAAATGGGACTTTTCCAGTACGTGTGGGACAATGGTCGTTTTCTGTGTACTTGCCTGACGTGAAAAGCGGCTAGTGTATGATTGCACTATTACTGTGAGGATATCGGTGGGCCCAGCTCAGTTGGTACCCCCAGCAACTGTTGCATGACAGACCTGCGTTCAAATCCAGATGCAATCAGATGAACAGAATAAAATAATTCCAACTTACGTGGGGCCGGTCCGCTCCATAATGATAATACCTCAAGACCATCACCCTTTTAGCAAACCCAAAGAAAAGAAAAAGTTCTATTATGGTATGGAATCTATGGATGCGGTAGTTGCTCTTTGGGTTTAGTGCTAGAATAGGGGATGGATGCCCACTTTCTGAACTGCGATTCGTCTGCCCCCACTTGCGCTGTGAGAATAAGAGAAAACATGGCTTCTCTCTGTCGCCAGACACCGCGCCCTCGCAGTGCATCACCTTTCCGTCTAGTTTGTTCTGTGTTTTGCCCATGCATGCATGACCTCTTTTGAAAGCCACCCACTCTTTCCTTCAATCCTGCAACATTTTCCACTGATTCTGCTGCTGTCGACGGCTTCGGAAAGAGGGGGAGTTTTCTCAAGAAGGAAAAAAAAAAGGAAAAACGGGGTTGACAACTTGACACTGGGGAGATTTTCAGGCCCGACCAACTGGCCCAACAGGCTATGTATCACCTGCGGGGCAGCCCCAATTCTGCAGCCATGATTTTTACGGATTTGTCCTGGGCGAAATAAAACGTATGGGGTTGTAGGGTTTTTCGAACCCTACAACACCATTCTTTCCCCCCCAAATCGCATATTTTTTGGTGTAAAAAAATAAATAAATCGGAAGCTGAAAAAAAGTCAAAAAAAAAACGAAAACAAGATTTTTTCTTTTCTTTGGTTGTGTGTGTGTGTGTGTGTGTGTGTGTGTGTAAGTGCATGCGGGGGGCGACTCCCCTCCCTCCAATCAATCAATTGAAGAAAAAAAAAGTGCGCAACAGTAAGAGAGAGTGTGTGTGTGTGTGTGTGTGTGTGTGAGAGAGAGAGAGAGAGAGAGAGAGAGAGAGAGAGAGAGAGAGAGAGAGAAGAGGTAAGTCTCCAGCCTTGTGGCTGGCCTCATGGGACTTCCATTGACAGGATGAGCAAAATCGAGTGAATCTGCCGCTAGAACATGGAAATATACACCGCCACAGTCGTTTTTTTGTTGTGCTGCAAGCGCGCGTGCGCACGTGTGTGTGTAAGCAGTCAGACTACCTGCACCAGCTTGGTCTGACATTTTGGCAGCTCTTTCTAATAAACAAGAATGTAGATAAAACCAGGGCTGGTCCCCCGGATGGACCGGGGACCCCTACCCCATCCGCGGTCCTTC